GACGAGCAGTTGCACACTAATCATTGACCTTGAAATACGCTTCGATTGCGAACGCATGTTGTTTACCCGTCCACTGATACTGCGTTATTAAATAACCCGCACGAATGACGAAGCTGACGCTGTCCCCACGCCGCCGATACGCTCAGCGGTTAGGGATAAACTGTAAATCTAAAACCCAATTCTGCCACCGGACACCCGTTACATACATGGAACCTCTTTTTGATCCTGTCTCTGAAGCAATTTTTTCATCTTCCAAAGTCATTGATTTTGGGCCAATACGAAATGGAAAATATACGTATGAATCTACATACTTATATACACATTCTTCCGACGTATTTTCTTATCAACTTTTATAGAACCGAATTTCTTGGTCAGTAGATAAGAAATGAAACTATAACATATGTACATATATATGTATGTATGTATATGTAAATAAGTAAAAAACATTTTTTTTTTGAGAAAACGATTTATGTAGATAAAATACTTACATAGTTTTGCAAAGAATTTTTCCATAGTAAGACATGCGGTGAAATCATTATCTCTGCAATTAGTAATTTGATTTATTAGCTATTTTTCGTTCTAAATAAAATAAGATACCAATATATATATGTCTGTATGTACATACATATAAGCACTTCCATGCATGAGGTGTTTTGAACTGATCTTTACACCGTTAAAATAAATGCAAAACGTAAAGCCTACTTTCCCGCATTTTGTATGTATGTATTCGGAATATTTTTAAGAAATTTCGGTGTTTTGAAGAATTAGTAAAATTTGAACTTTTCTGCTTTATCTATACCTTTGCCGATGATGTTATGAACCAAAAACAGACAGATAGCCGATTAAGCAGCGCATGTACACGACAAAAGATCTATCCTGATCCAAACCGATCTAACTAAATACCGCTTTGTAATCTCCTTTGACAATGTCTTTTCACTTATTTGACGGCAAATGCCATTGATTTTGGCATGGTGAAAACAAGCCTTTAGGCATAATTTTAAGAATTCATAATGGCGAATCCAATATGGCGGCTGTGGTTCTTGGGGCCGCTTATTACTAATCTGAGATCAGGTTGGAAAAATTCTAAATGGAGGACCAAATATGGCGGTAAAAAAAAATTAAATCATTTAGAACGCTTAACTCTTTACAATCAAGCTCTCTAATTACGAATCTAAAATCATGTACGCTCGATTCAAAAATTTTCCATGATAAGTGGTAGACCCAAAATCTATCCGCCATTTGAATTTTCTAAATCTAGGTGCAATTTTAATTATTTGCTCTTGCTTGACACTTTTCAGGAAACACCCATATATAAGTTTCCTTTTTTTTCAAAAAATTCAGCGACCAAAATCTATTAGAAATGGTGTTATATAAAATTGAGACAAATTTTTTTCAAATCCGGAAAGTCCTGAAATACTGGTTCGATTTCACTGAACTTTATTTTAAGAGAATATATTTTTTTAAGAAAGACGTAGCGGGGATTTTCTTCAATAAATTTTTGCTATGAACGAACGTCTTAAATTTAAGTGTGAACTTAGTAACTAACGAAATGTTTCACCGTTTGCTTAAAAATTTATAGCAAAAATTTGCTCCAGCTTTTGTTGAAAGGTAAATTAAAGCTCTGTATACATTTTTAGCGCAAATGTAATTTCAAAAATTCTAAATTTTGAGTGTGTTATTTGTTTTGCTTTCGTTGATTTCATCACAGATTTTCAGATGCATTTGGTCCTCGAATCGAAAATCAGGTTAGAAAACTATGTTAGAATTCGATTAAAGAATGATTAGACAAATACCAGATATCTGAAACCAATTAGAGCTCAACGTTAGAATACAATTAGATATCAAACCTGTTTATCGATATCGAGAACCAATTCCCCTTTTTGTGGAGAGTTCTATAATTTTCGACAGTTTCTCTACTCCTCTTCTAACCTTCTATTTAGAGAAACATATTTCCAATCGATTTCCAATCGTTCTCTATCCTTAATGTTTGTTGTGACGCTACTTTAAAAATACACGACTCAATTATATTTGGCAGCCCAGTAAACGCTTCCACTCCTTGTATTAGCGTAGCGGAATAGAGGCCTTTGATGCCTCATACACTTGCAGGAAAATACTCGATATGCATGACCACCCAGGACTTAATCATTTGGTTCTACACTTTGGGAAAATAATGCTCTATGCTGTCTGGGGAAAAATGAAGGTGGTCGTGGACAATTGACTTTACCGATCATAACGCATGCTGCTGCAGTATGGTGCCTTACAGCTACGATCGAAACTACGGTTTCTATGCAAAACCAACTGGTAGAACGTCGGGAGCAGCTCTTGACGGTTTCTTAGATTCGACACTCTCGGTACTGCGACATGGCAACAGAAACTCCACTGCATCTCGTTTTAGAATGCGATGCAGTTGCGAGAAGGCCTGGGAGGGTTGTGGGCAGAGATTACGCGTACTTACCTTCTATCGTCTCGAAACCGCTTGGTTTCATAGGAGCACTCGGTCTAGAAGAGATGTTTTGGTGTGATCTGAGGACACAATAGCCTCAAGGTCGCAGTGCACAGCCTTTATTAAATCAATCTATCTAAGTCCTTGGAAAATCGGTAGGGTTTTTCATGCCACTTTCGCAGCAGCAACCGCAGAGCCGGGTACTACATTCGTCGACTCGGAATTCGAGGGCATACTTGGCATGAACTATCAACAGATTGCGGTGGACAATGTGGTACCACTTTTCTATCATTTATACCGACAAGGTTTGATCGACGCGCCAATTTTTGGTTTCTATTTGGCACGCATGTCACATCCAGCAATGGTGGTGTCCTAACATTGGCCGGCATTGATCGCAATCATAACATTGGTGATATCACCTATGTATGTGCCGGTCTCAAGTCAAGGTTATTGGCAATTCGTAATCGATTCGGTATCCATTCCTCGCTATTGTCGAAACAGGCACTAGTCTATTAGCCGTACCAACCTTAGTCTACGAATATCTTCAAATCGGAATTGGCGCGGTGGCCAACGAATGGGGAGAATATTTTGTCGATTTCGCGCAAGTAGCGAGCTTACCAACGGCTTCCTTCAATAATGGTGGCACCACATTTGAGCTCGAGGGTAGAGACTACATTCTCGAAGTCCCAAGTGAATATGGTGAGACGTTGTGCATGCCAGCATTTGAGGATGCCGATACCCCTTTTTGGATTTTGGGCGATGTTTTCATAGCCAAGTATTACACTGTTTTTGATTGGGTAATAGCCAAGTTGGATTCGTCAAGGCTAAATAAGGTGTTGAAAGCTGGGTTCGGTTCCTTCACATTGGCTCACTTATCTATAAAGTTTAGCTTTTGGTAAGTGATTTCTACAAACCAGTGATAAATGGCATTACGGTAGAAGAGTAAAGAGCACTGAATACAAAGAATACTAAGAAGGTAAGGTAGGATTTGCCGGTCTAAACAGAGTTAGACAGCCGAGACAATAGCACTTCGTCGAGTAAAGACTCGAGTCATCTCGTGCGTGGAACTAACTGGCTGTCGTGGAATCGAATAAAGGGATCTCAATTGAAATATTGAGCAACTGGTAAATCAATCTGGTGTGAGTATGCATTGATTCATCGTTATCTCCCTGTCCAGGCGGACCAATCGCAATTACTTGCTGAGAGTCACATTTTGTAATGGCGCCTTTTCGCTTCCGAAGGAAGGAAGGCGTAAGTTATTTAGTATTCTTAGGTACCCATTCGGAAGTCGAAAGCTTCCATTATCATTGGCCCTGGCGGAATTTGCATGTTGATGCTGGTAAAATTGGGTCCGGCTGAAGTTAAATACCACACTACATGTGGAAGTCTGTGAGAGTAGTCACACTACTAAAACCGTAGAAACTAACCAACAAAATAGAGTACAATCAGCCGAAAACGCTCCTTTTCCTAGTAGTGAAGATACTTGAGGCCTTACCTTACTATACACGAACTTTACTTGCAATCTAACAACACTCACAGTACTACCTCAACCCTTAACGGCTTAAATATTCAGCTGTAACCGCACCAGCGAAATAATTGTTCTGGCAGGGCTAGACTTCTGAAAAGCTTTTGATACCCGTTATAATTCCACACTGGAAAGGACTTTGAGGTATCCTCCCTTCACAGGAATTAAAACGGCGGATCTAAGTTCACGATTCCTGGATATCGCAGAACTTTCTCGCTCTTTCACTGCATGAAGCCTTACCACCTATTCTGCCAAATCAACGACGACCCCCTTCCCACCTGGAGGGAGAGCTTAGCTGCAATAAGTCATCTACGTAGATGACTCTCCAACTTCGACGGTGAGTAACCCGTAAAATTTTGTTAGGGGTTACCTTTGACAGCTTCCTCTCCATTTCCTAGCACTCAGCTGCCAAAGTACATAGCTGCAACAGCTCGCTGGCAGCATTTGAAAGTATCCGAACAGACATTTGCTGGAAGCAGAGCCTCCTTCGAAACATACATATGTAACCCAACCACTGAACCCGAGGATGTACCGAAATGCCCAAAAAGACATACATAGAGTGTATTAGACCTTCGAATACTCACCATCCACGTGTTCCCACGACAGTGGAGTCTACGTAACCGGAACAACCCAGATTAATATCTGGCCAAGGACTGTCACCCCAGCATCATTCACACAAAAACTCTGACTCTTTGAACTTATACCCAACCAGACTGGACCGCCCCCTATTCAACTGCCCACTCCCACTCAGCTAAGACCCCCCCGTTCGGTCCGTCGAAACAGTACGCTTCCTGGGCCAGCCGTTACTTGGACTGGACGACAAATATTGGTAAACTAGACGATTTAAGTAGGGCCTATTAGTACTCTCTTTTGGGAATTTGTATGCGGTACAACAAAATGCACAATCACGATACACTAGCCGAATGAAGTAGGGCCGGTACAATAACAACTGATCGTATATAAATTTTTAAAGTTAGATTTTTATTGCGTCGTATTAAATTTTTTTAAATGTAATGTTTTAAATTAAAAAGTAGATAAATTATAACAACAAAAAGGAGAAGACAATAAAACAACAACAAGAAGACTAAAGAAATCCATGGGAGGCATCCCTCACTAATCGTTCATTGGAGCTGCATTATCTTCGTTACCATTGGCAACAATTGGAGGCGGAACTTGCGGGGATTTCACTAACATTTCCGTTTGGTTTGTGGGCATTACTGCTTGCCGTCCGCATAAATTCAACCCTGACATCTTATTTGGTGAAGACACATTTTGAGGTGGCGAATTTGGAGCACCTAATAAGAATAATGATGCAATTAAGAAAGTGTAAAATATTCCACAGTGCAAGGTTAGTTTCATGAGCTATAAAGCAAGTGTATTATTGCTGTGGCAATGCTGTGCATATGTTAGAACAGCTGATTTTGTTTACGCTAACCAAAACAGCACGGAAACACGGCACTAANATGAGCTATAAAGCAAGTGTATTATTGCTGTGGCAATGCTGTGCATATGTGAGAACAGTTGATTTTGTTTACGCTAACCAAAACAGCACGGAAACACGGCACTAAATTTTANCTTCTGACTAGGAACAGTTGCTCAGTTACTCTCTCAAATGTGTTCCCACTTACAGGTTTTATGTCAATAGGAACGACTTCCTGTAAGTTCTGACTAAATCCTGTAAACCGGACTGCTATTGGAACAGACTATTTACTTACAAGCAATTGGGACAGCTCCACCTCCATTTGTGGCAGCACGAGCTGAACGAGTTTTGTGGAACATCGCTGCTACAGCAGCAGCCTGCTGTTGTGTTTGGTGATAGATTTGCTGCTGCAACATCTGTGCGTATACCAAACGCTCATAAATACCTGTAGTTGTACCAACAGTAGGGCCTTGCGCTGTGGCGCCACTTAAATATTGAGTCTCTTTGAAAAATGTATTCAAATATTGTTGTGTTGTTGTAGTCAACATCGGATTGGAGTATAAAATGGTAGGCGAGGAGGCAAGTGCTGCATTTGCTAAGCTATTTGAAATAAAGTTTGTTGTAGTGGATGAATGTTGATTGTAGACAAGTGGTGGTGCAGCAGGAGCTGCCGCAACATAAGTGACTTTGTTGCCGAGGAACATGCCATATGCAGTACTTCCAGTAGCTGGTCGTACGGAAGCAGCTTGCAAACCATTACACATTTGATAATAAGCAGCTGCAGCGGCTGAATTAGCGGCCGTAGATTGCTTCTGAAATGAATGCACAATTTACATATAGCGTTGATCAAAATCTACATCTTTTAAACTGAAATTGCTTACACTAAAATTTGCAAAACCTAT